GATCCAGGACGAATCCCGTGCAGGTCGTCCAAAATCCGTTGTTGTGCCAGAAAAGATCGATGCTGTGCGTGAACTGATAAAGCAAGATCGTCATGTGACATACCGTGAGATAGAGGCGTCTTTGGACATTAGTATGACTAGCATCAATAAAATATTGCATGAACATTTGAGCGTAAAAAAAATTTGTTCGCGTTGGATCCCGCATAATCTGACAAACGCTCAAAAAAAGGCTCGTGTCGATTGGTGCAAGGAAATGTTGGAAAAATACGTTCAAGGTACATCAAAGGCTGTGTATAACATCTACACAGGTGACGAATCATGGATCTATGCATATGAGCCGGAAACAAAACAGCAATCAACTGTATGGGTCTTCCAAGACGAGGCAAAACCAACAAAAGTTGTTCGAGGAAGAAGCACATCGAAACAAATGATTGCCTGTTTCTTCGGCATTAACGGTCATGTGGCAACAGTGGCGTTAGAGCAACGCAGGACGGTCAATTCTGAATGGTACACGACCATTTGTTTGCCAGAAGTCATCGGAGAAATTCGAAAAAAGCAGAAGAACAGGCGAATCATTCTTCATCATGACAATGCGAGCTCTCACACATCGACTCAAACAAAGGCATTTCTGACGGAGCGAAAGATCGAACTGATGGGTCATCCGCCGTACAGCCCTGATTTGGCACCCAATGACTTCTTCTTATTCCCACACATCAAAAATAAATTACGTGGACAACGATTTTCGACCCCCGAAGAAGCGGTTGATGCATTCAAAACGCATGTTTTGGAGTTACCTCAATCGGACTGGAAAAAGTGCTTTGAAAATTGGTTCAAACGCATGCAAAAGTGTATTGATCATCATGGAGAATATTTTGAAAAACAATAAAACCAATTTCGATTCTACATATTTGTTTTTTCATTATTGGGCCAGAAATATAAATAGCAACCCTCGTAATAATAAAAACGTAAGACAAATAAATAAATAAATAAATCTATAAAAATGTCCATATCTCCATAAATATTTGAGCCAAATTTACGAAACTTAATGCAATTATTGCAAATAACAACCAAAGTAATCAATGCAAGTTACACGCTTGTTGCAACATTTCCTGGTATAGGGTGTTTAAAAAGACTTGTTTTAGTTCGTAATTTATTGCTCGTCCCTCAAACCTCTGAAAGTTTTAAAATTCATTAATAAGTAGGAAAAATTGTATGATCTAAACACCTCTAAAATTATCAAATAATACTCCAATTATTACTAGAGAAAATTAAAAAAAATGTCAAAAGCTGAAAGTGTTTGTTCCATTATTGTAGGGTAGTGTAGGTAAAACTTAAACAAAGATATTGTTTATAAATCCTTCTCTTGATAATTAATTATTTGCTTGGGTTCAGACTTCTATAACTGCTTTAATTGTGCGTTCAAAACCTGTGTATGGCAGGGAAGTCCTAAAAATGGTATTTATTTAGTTTTTTTCCCTTCCACCATCGATATCTTATCTCCGATATGGACATTTCTAAGGATTAGAAGTTAAAAGCACTCTATGGACAGCCACAGATAGTGCAGGCCATCCAAAGCAATGGATTAAGATGGCTTGGCTATATCTGGAGAGGTCCAGAAAACAATGCAGTACGAATAGCCACCTTAAAAAATCCTTCTGGATCTCGAGCCAGAGGAAGACCTCCAACTAGATGGCTCGATGACACTACTAAAGATCTCAAAGTAATAAAGATTAATAACTGGAAAAAAGTCGCCATGGATAAGAGACGTTGGCGGCTACGCGTGGTTGAGGCAGCCAAGGCCTGTTAGGGGCTGTCGTGCTGAAGAAGAAGTTAAAAGTAATTCTGCAGTCAATCTACGAGTTCTGGGTAAACTTAAACATTCCAGATTAGTGTTTGGTTACCTCAAAATCACGAAAAAGTTTTCCAGAATAACTTTTGTTTCTTGCTGTTATAATTCTTTTAGTACCAAGTTTGAGTATGCGGTTTTTAGGGCTTGATAGTTTAACAATAATGTACCTCCGGGATACTCTAAGAAATTATTCCCTTCAATAACAGGGTCGACTATTTCTTTTAGTTGTGATGAAAGGTGTCAAAAATTTTAAAAAAATTTCTAGATCATCTTTAAAGGAAGTTAAATACTAATTTTAAACCATATAAGACCATTAACTCAAACTATAAACACTGTCAGATATTACTCGTAGAAATGCATATATAGCCTTAATATTTTGTTAGCTCTTGTTAAGCATAGAACACTCACCATTTGTTACAATCAATGAAATATTATACATCTAGCGATGATCGGAGCTCAAGCCAATGACTGTTTGTAAGTCAAAAGAGACGAAGATTAGTTGTAAAACCATTTCATTTTTAGCTTATACATTTTTAGCTACCAAGACTGATTAATAATTATAGTCCAGCATAGGAAACAGTCTTATATATGCTTTATATCCTTTAATAAGTCTTGGTAGCTGGGGTTCCTTATTTTTTCAAATATAAGCAAGATATAAAATGGTTTTCTTACGAGATTTTTCTCTATTTTACGGAGCACCAACAGTTCTAGTCTTTGATGCTATCGCAATTTATATCCAACACGCACATTTTAAGATAGAAAGTGAGTTGGATCTTTTAATACTGCTCAATAGAATATTCATCACATTTTTCAAGCATTTTACTAATGGTACCAGAATGTGACGTTGGTTTAGTTGTTAAGCAAAAATGAGGATGTCCAGTTGTTGTTGTCTAAAAATTAAAAAAGTGCTTAAAAATTAAAAATGTACCCCCTATGGGATAATGATGATGAATATTTTAAAATTGCCATGAAGCCATACGTGATTCAACTTAGAACTAGCACTCGTTTTTATATTTGTATAGTACAGTGCGCAAAATTAAAAACGAACCACCCTGAATAACTTTTGTTCTAATGATCTGATCTTTACGTTCTATGTTCTTAATGGTTCGAGGGGGTGGCCTCAAATATGCTAATCAATAAGTGCACACGATATTTTAAGTTACGGAATCAGACGCAAAAACTTATTTTCCTTGAATAAACATGCCTTTTTTTCGACAGATATAGTTTTCTGATCCTCGAAATATGGCCACAATATGGGAAATATGATCTCAATAGTTTAGTCAAGAAAGCGGTCCTTTTAAACCATATTTCGAGAACTTTTTAGGAGAATTGTAAAGTGTTTGCACACAGTTATAAAATTCGTTTATCCAAAGATAATTCCATGCAAAATATACATTTTAGTAGATATCTATTATTTTTTCTTATTTTGTTTAATGATAGTCGAAAATTTATGAAAAAGATAGGTATCATTTTTTAAATATATTTTTTAAGAATGTTACTTTACCTGGAATAATACAAAATTTGAGTGAAATCGGTTAAATAGTTCCTGAGAAATCGAATTTTGAAAAAGTTGTATTTTTAAAAGTCGATATTTCATGAACTATTCGAGAGATTTCGCTCAAATTTTGTATTTTTGCTCTTAAAATGAAAAAAATAAATAATGTGAAAATTATTACACCTTACAAAATTTTATTATTAAATAAAATAATAAAAAGTAATAAAATCATGCGTGCAACAATACTAACTAAAAGTTATATTTTGCATTAAGTTATCTTTGAATAAACGAATTTATAATTGTGCTCAAAAACTTTTCAATTCGTTTAAAAAGTTCTCGAAATATATTGCAAAACGCAAAAAGTAAAATTTGCATTAAGTGGTTCGAACTTTGAACCGAACCCGTTCTCTTGACCAAACTATTGGGACCATATTTCCCAGATAGATTGCGGTTACCGCTAGATTTTGGGAGTCCGAAAAAAGGTATGTTTATTCAGAGAAAGTACGTTTTTGTGTCTGATTTCGTAACTTAAAATATCATCTGCACTTGTTAAGTAACATATTTGATTTCCCCCTCGAACCTTTAAGATGGAGTTCTGGAACGTAAAAATCCGATCATTAGATCAAAAGTTATTTAGGGTGGTCCGTTTTTTTTCTCCGCATTGTACGTATTTTGACACGAGGAATTATATTATGCACGCGTGCATATTCTAACAAATACTCATTGTGTAATAACTAGAAAAAAACATGAAACTCATAAAATTAATGATGATAATATTACACTAAAAAATTGATTGTATTTACTGCTACTTTTCAGTCATAGAAGTAAAAATATATTGAGAATAAGAATTGGAAATCGCAGATAATACTTTCCGAGATAAAGGACCATCATCTCAAAGATGCAAGTGTCCGAAACCCATTAGAGTCGATATTACCCGGTTATAAAAAGAGAACTTTTTAATGAACAGGAGGATTTTTCGGTCATGAATTTAAACTGTCATTTATATTGTTTAATCTTGCATTAAGTTGTGTGAAACTTCTTTATTTTTTAACACCCCAAGAAAGAGAAGATATCTGAAAACTAGCACACATTCCTGGAAGACGAGATATTTCGTACATAACATGCGAAGAATCCTGAACTACGAAATATCTCTTCACTGAAACAAAAGGAGCATTGATGAATGTGAGATAGATACGGTACTAAGCAAATAATCCTAAGTAACGAGATATCTCGTCTAATGTCTAAATGACTAGATATTTACATAGCTAACAGAAGACAAGGTATCTAGTACATAATGAACAATCCTAGACAACGATATCTAGTCTCCAATTCATGAAAGACGAAATATCAAATATTTAGTGAACAATTTAGAATTGCTATATTTATCATCACTTGCTCATAGTGCCAATTGCTGGAAAATTCGAAACCTCGTTCATATTCTGGAGCAAAGGATAGAGGACATTGCTTAGGAGACATAGCGTACATAGAGAACATTGCTTAGCGTACAGTTGAAAGCGCTTAGTGAACAAATTATTCCTACAACTGCATGTAACGTACATTTATAGAAAACGAGATATCTTGCCTATATCAATGATAAATAAATTAAATTAATTAATTCTAAATGGATAATTCAGAAAAGAATGGAATAAAACTTACTATTTCTCGCTTTCTTCTTTCTTCTCTAGACTCATATTTCTTACAAAGTTCAGCTTTGAATCCCCCATGCGGTCCAGAATGTGGGTCTTCCTGGGCCAACAAATCCATGAGATAGGCGATATAACTCGTCGCTAATTTCAAAATTTTGATCTTACTAAGCTTTGTGTCTTGTGGTACGTGTGGAATGCACTCACGCAATTCTGCGAAGGCATTGTTGATCGAAAGAGTTCGTCTTCTTTCTTTTCTGTTCGCCGTGACGCGTTTTTTGTATCCCCTTTCGGGTCTCAGTTCACTTCCAACACAAAATTCTTTGTTTTGAATGGGTGATATAAACTCAATTGATGTATCCGGACTATAATTGCTGAAGGACCAACCTAAATATGAAGAATCTGAAGGAGATTGTTGAGATGCCGATGCAATGTCGTAACGATTGCCGTAATAATGCTGAGGATAGGCCGTTGTGTCTGAGCTGCGAAAGAGTTGTTGATAATTTCCCACTAGGCTCATGCTGTATGACAAGTACAGGATTCGGATGGGTTCTGGTTTGTCTCATGTAATGCGAAAGATTGACTCCTCCCTCAAAAAAGGCGGAGCTTAGTGGTCCATAGTTGCTTACCAAAGGAGGAGAAACTCATGAAGGTATCTGAGTAGGGGATCAAGCAACCATTTTTGTAATTAGATTTAGAAATGCGTCGAAGTCTGTATTTGCACAGAAGATATCTATCACGGGATGTTACGATGTTTCTCTCTGAAATTTAATTAGTTCGTAAGGGATATATTTTTCCGCCATTGGAAAAACCATGATTAAGATCGAGCGTAGGTGATAAAAAAATTTCATCAGATCAATTCTAAATTAATCAGATTGTGGCGACATGTAATTAATTAACCAAAATAAACTCAAAATATGAATTTGAAAAATTCATTCCAGAATTTTTCTTACTAATCATCGATTGAACGCATTCAGCAAAAAAATAAAAGTAGTAACTATGTTCGTTTTACGATTCTCGTTTATAACTATTTTCAAACTAAAACTATTTATTCAAATATATATATATATATATAGATATAAATATATATATATATATNTAGCTACTTCCAATATATAATTTTACATTTTATATATATATATATATATATATATATTTATAAAATTGACCAAAACGAATTTATTATTAATGTTGTGATGATGTGAATTTGTGAAAATTTTCATTTGAATTAAAAATTTATATTGCGTGCATCCACGAACGAATGCATTAAATAAAGTACTTTAATGTATTTCAATTATACGTACTCTCCGGCTAAAAGTGTTTTTCCCCTTTAAATTGAAAAAAAATCAAGATGATCCAAGTGAACTTAGAAATAAATGTTGCAAAAATGCAAATTATTCATAATTTTAACTTTAAATCCAGCATTCATCTTACATGTATCTGTCATTGAAGCATCCAGTAAAGAAATAAAAATAACTACATTCGTAATCTCAGGTTAAAACTATGTCTTCTTAAATTTAAAAAAAAAAAAATTGTCAAAAAGACTTTAATATAAATATTTCAAAAATGAGAATTTTCTTTTAAAAATTTCAACTTGACCCGAGGTGGCTCAGGGTAAAGTGCTTGCTTTCCATTGTGGTGACGGGTTCGAATACCAGCGATGGCTGGTCGATACGAATTCTGCACCCGGCTGGCACCAACCACAGTGATAAACAAAAAGTGAAATTAACATTAAGGGGTCCAAACTAATACGAAATAAAAATTTCATTACGCTCAATTCTTAATTACTCTCAATTTATTTATTACAATCAATCAAAAATATTCTACACAGTTAATAGTTGCATATACAGTTAAAGTTCTGAATTAATAATAAGTAAACTTTGTAATTGAGTCAATTTCTTCTGATTTCTCTTAATGAAAATTAACAACTGAAAGCGAATTCTGTATTTAAGTCATAGACTGATAGAACACACAATATGCTTGTATGGAACACTCATTTTATTATAAATTCACAAATAGTCAGAGAAGGAGCTTAATGTATAAAATTAAACAAAAAAGCACAGAATAAAAACATATTTTTTTAATTTTTTGACAGATTTGGTATTCTGACCCTTGAACTATATGGGGGGCGGGGGTCCCACAATCTGGAAAATATTGTCCCAATAAATTATACAGTAGAGTGATTAAAAGTTTGGAACACTTTCTCTTTTTGCGTATTTCGCATTATCTCGAAAAATTGAAAAGTGAATCAAAAAGATTTTTGCACACAATTATAAAGTTCGTTTATTCGAATATAATTATTTGTAGAATAATAATTATTACGATATATTTTATCTAATGAAGGGAATTTAAATTGTAAGGTATTACATTGTTAAATATGTAATTTTAAATGAAAAAATACAAAATTTAATTGAAATTGATGGAATAGTTTTGGAGAAATCAAGTTTCAAATATACAGCTTCTTATAATTTATTAACACAGAAACTATTCTATCTAATTACATATTTAACAATGTGATACCTGACAATTTAAATTCCCTTCATTAGATAAAATATATCGCAATAATTATTATTTTACTTGGAATTATATTCGAATAAAGGAATTTTATGTGCAAAGACCTTTTTTATTCACTTATCAATTTCTCAAAGTATAGCGAAATACTCAAAAAGTAAAAGTAGTCCAAACTTTTAATCACTTTCTTGTATAATTTATTGATACAAATCTGTCAAAATTTTTTTTAAAAAAAGTGCTTTTTTGTGTCTGATTTCATAACTTTAAATATCGTCAGCATTAATTAACTTATTTAAGGTTAAGTTCCCAAACTATTGAGATTGAGTATGTGAAAATGCAATCATTAGATCAGATCAAAAGTTATTCTGAGCTTTCACTTTTTTGTTTTGTTTATAGTATGTCAAATTTGGCCATTTTAACACGATCCGGAGTAGAGCACCCGACTCCTCTTAAAAACAAATCATTCATTTCGTCTAAAATAAAATTTAACTCTTATTACATTACAAAATATGTCTACTTTTTCCACATTAATTTTGAAACTCAGAAAATTGTTCCGTTGACAAGCATACTTATTTGGCAATTGAAATAATCTATTTATAATCAATTAATTAAAGTGACTTACCCTATGATTAAAAAAAATCCCATAATGTTTCAACAACATTTGCAATAATCTATATAAAGGAAGGGGGAATTCAAGTTAAACTAACTTATTGTTACGTTTCATGTCAGTCGTTAAATCTTTGAAGAATCTCTTGGGGCTAAAGGGGGTTCTTGTTTCCTTTTCTAGTCTCGTTGCATTATTAAAACTTAAAAAAGATGAATACTTTTAAAGTCAAACTAAGTCTCTTTGGAAAAAAAAAGAAAAAGAAAAACATACTGAGTCGCGCTGTTTCAATCTGTTTAAATTTTAAATGTTCAATTTTCCAGTTTACCTAAAAAATTAGTAACTGATCTCCTAATCATGTAATTGGTTTAAAGAAAATGTCAAGGAATCTCTCTTTTATTAGCCCTCCCACTTCTTTGTAACAGAAGTCGCCTTTAAGAAGGGCAATTTAAAAGTGTCAAGCATATATCTTATTAAAAATAATTTATCTCTGAAAAAGGAAAAAAGTTTATAGGGTGGCAATTAGTGGTTCCCAAGATGTTTCAAAGATGAAAAGGATGCTTTGACATGTCAGTGTAGTAAATCAATTTGTTACACTAGTTTACACAAAGCTTCTTCCCAGCTCCAGTTTCGTATTTCAGACCTCAGCTATCCACCGACGTTTCATCTATGCTATAGATTACGTAGGTGGTCCGTTAGGAAAAAGCATTGGTCATTTTGTGATGGGATACTGGCAATACACAACTTTCTTCTTCGTGAGATTGAAATAAATAGAATACAATAGCAATTTAGCTTAAACCATGATCTTGTGTAAGAGCTTATAATTGAATAAAAAAGTGCTAAAAATATTTCCAGAAAAGTACATATTTTTTTAATTTTTTTCTTATTGGAGCTTTGTGGTGCCCCCATATATACACATATATATATATATATATATATATATATATATGTGTGTGTGTGTGTGTGATAAAACAATCACGAATGAGATAAATTTTTGGGGATGTATTTTTAACAGAAAAAGTCATAAAACGTTTTGCTAAACAAGAAAAGAAAAGCAATTTTTTTAACTATGAATTTGAATTGGTTTGGATTTCTGAGATGAAAGATACAACATTAAAAATAATGCAAGAAAAATTATCTTAAATATTGTTTACAGATTATCATGATTAAAATAAATATATTAATAAGACTCTAAACTGCAAAAAAAAAGAAAGAAGAGAAAATAAAAGCGAAAAGTTCAAGAATATTAAAGCAATTTTACGCTTAGCGTTTTTCTCATCTTGTTCCGGTTCAACTTACATGGTTTTAAAAATCGAAATTGTTGTGTTTAAAAAGGAAAATAAAGTTATTCAGTTGATTGACAGCACTAGTATTCATATTTTGAAAAAATGATTAATTATAATAATTGTGGTGGGAATAATTTTATGCACATTTTATTTAATATATTTACCTTTTTATTATTTACGAGAAAAGAAACAGACAAGATGAGATATTTAGGCTTTCTTGGATAGCATGGTCCATTTTGGTAACCATTAAAATTTCATATACATTTACACAAAGAAATGAAAAAGGCAACGCATAGAACTCTTATTTCCTTCCTCTATGAACAGTATTTATAGTTTCAGTATTAAAATTTTAAAAAACTAATGCTTTTAATTCAGAAAAAAATGTTTGTTAAAAATACCAAATTATGAAAATGTTAATTACCACAAAATAATTACTTTAAAAATCCCATATTATTTTGATAAAATAAATAAAATTACATGAAGTACGCATAAAACACTCGTACAATAAATTAGGTAAGTTTAACAAATTATCCCATTCTTGAAAAAAATATTTTTATTAGTTTTTATTACTGAGCGTAATAAAATCATATAAAATTTTTATGGAACTTTTGCATTTAAAATATTCCTTCATTCTTTTAATTAATTAAAATGCTAGTTAATGTTAATTTTTTATATTAGGACACAATTAATAAATATTTATATAAATTTTTTTATTGAATTATCTGTAAATTTCTTTATACCTTATTTAGATATAAACGTGACATTAAATTTCTAAATGAAAACGAAGTTATAGAAAAGTCATAAAAATTCCAAGTTTTGATTTATAATTTTAAAAATTTCAAAGAAACATTGATTTCATAAATATAAAATAAGAGCTAACTCCGTGCGTTAAAAATAAATTCATGCACAATGAACGTTAAAATCATGATTTAATGTACTATATAAAGAAATTTGATATACAAACTATAAAACATAAAGCAATTCTTACAGTATATAAATATACAATTATAAATGTATTAAGTGATTTAATACAAATATTTGCTTATCTCCCCAGGAATGTATTTATTTAATGACTTCTTGTTATCCAACAATAAACACAATTTATGAATAGATAGCCAACAAAGTGATGGGTCTGTTGATATCTGACATGTTAT